AACATGGGCAGGAGCAAAGCCAAAGGAGCCAGAGAGCAACAAGAGGGAGAGAGAATTCCTATGTTTGAAGGATTATGTATCCCCAAATTTTGGCCGACTTACAGTGGCCCTGCCCACTCTGGTCAACCCATGGTTCCCTAGGCTAGATTGACAGGAACCTTCCCTAACTTCACTGTGCATGCATAGATGTCCCCTTTGTTGGACCCTCTTCCCCAATGTTTTGCAGGGAATGGGCCAGTGGTTCTCTGGGGAGTGTGAAACCGCAGCTTCCTGGTGAAGTTGCCCAAATGACCACGCTTCTAATGTCTGGCCTCCCTTTTGCTCCTTTCCTGTTATGAATCACTAGCTCATGACAACGGTATTGCTACTACAATGAAAGGGGTTGACAAAATGCCCAGGTATCCTACATCCATGACTGCATGCGTTTCCCAGCCAAAAGGAAGATAAAAATCTCTTTTAGAGTGAAGATCAAAGTTAATGCGCTGGAAGAAATTGATGATGTAACTTTCTTCTGTCTCTTGGCTCTCAGGGAATCTTAATTAATATGCTCATCACTTCTTTTCTGGGTGGCATTTCCATCAACCAGAAAGAGGGGGCATTCAGATGTAAGAGTGAGCTCTTGATTGCTTCCCACAGCAGTGGAGAGCGGCCCTTCTTCATCTGTGTCAATCCCTTTCTCTAGAGCAGTGGTTCTCAACCTTCCTAATGCCGCGACCCCCAATTTCATTGCTACATATTGAACATAATTAAAGCATAGTGATTAATCACAGAAACAATATGTAATTATATATGTGTTTTCCGATGATCTTAGGCGACCCCTGTGAAAGGGTCGTTCGACCCCCAAAGGGTCGTGACCCACAGGTTGAGAACTGCTGCTCTAGATGTTTAGGGGAATTTGTAGGGGTGTGGGGAGGTAATAGATTGACTTCTCAAATGTAAAATTCCTTCTCTACAGATAAATGTACATGACAGAGGTGGCATGAGATTATCAGAATAACAGCCCGAAATCTCACAAGGAGCATGTTGGGAAAGAAAGTGGCCCTGTGAATAGAAATTTATCCTCAGAGCACCTTTCTCTCACCCAATATGTTTGCAAAGGAAATCCCCCAAGTTCCAGAAGATTAGAGAGATTGGAAGAGCCTCAGGTTTTAGTCTGGTCCAGGATGACTTTTGGATAAAAATATATGGGTCTGGACTGGCTCCACTTTCTCCAGCCTCGAAGGCTGGATGTGGAGCTTCCCCAGGGGAAGCCAGGGGCCAGGCCTCGCCCATCCACTCCCACCCACGAGCATCTGGGCACCGTCTCCCAAATGTGTATCTTGTATTTCCACTCCCCTGACCATCGCATCAGTCCACTGCTCCTTTCCCTAATGCGGTTCCCTTCTTATCCTCCTCTGTTCCTATTTCACTCTTTTCCCCACAGCCACTACTTTCCTCTCATCCAGGATTTCTGAGCCCCTGCACTATGGACATTTGGGGTCACATAATTATTGGTGGTGAGGTGCCATCCTGTGCAATGTGGGATGTTTAGCAGCATTTGTAGCCCCTTCTACTACACGTCAGTAGCACCTTCGCCCCACCCCCACCCCACTCCCCAGTTATGACAACCAGCAGTCTCTCCAGGCATTGTCAGAAGTCCCCTGGGAATGCCCCATTGAGAATCACTGCTCCAGCCCTTTCCCCTTTCATTTGAAGCCCTCGTTTGTTAAGCTTTTGACCTCATGGAAGACACTGGGTTAAATGTTTCATTTGTTTTATGTAGATGCTTCTCAAATTTCAATACACATGATCATCTGGGGAGAGTCTTAAAACACACATTCTGATTCAGTCGTTTTGGGGGAGGGTTTGAGGTGCTGAGTTTCTCACAAGCTCCCAGGCTGTGTTGGGGCTGGTCCCACAGACCACACTTTGAGGAGCAAGGCTCCTTAAAGGGCACAGGGGTCCTCAAACTACGGCCCGCGGGCCACATGCAAATACAAATATTGTATTTGTTTCCGTTTTGTTTTTTTACTTCAAAATAAGATATGTGCAGTGTGCATAGGAATTTGTTCATAGTATTTTTTTAAACTATAGTCCGGCCCTCCAACGGTCTGAGGGACAGTGAACTGGCCCCTGTTTAAAAAGTTTGAGGACCCCTGGTCTATGTCATTGTGTCCTTGTGGCCCAGAGAGGACTTGGTTTTACAGATGAGGAAGCTGAGGCTCAGAGAGCTCGTAGGTGGCTCAGTCACACTTGGAACCCACGTCTGCCAGCCTGCAGAGCTGGTCCTCATAACCAGCAATCACAGTTGATGTTGCACCAAGGGCCTCGAGTTCTCTCCTCAGTCTCCCTTCCCAGGTCATCACGTTACGGTCAGCTCAGCAGAGCCTGAGACTCAGGCACGTGTCTGCCTGGAACGCCCATGTTATATTAATCCGTCCTTAGACAGAATGAGCTACTCATGACGCCAGGTGGATATCCTGGAGCCTAGTGAGCCGTATCCATGACCTCAGGCCTCTGTTCTGGCCTGCCCTGCGAACAGCTCATCCCTCCTGCCTAGTAGTAGGCAGTCATCTAGGATTGCAGTCGCCGCCGAGGCTCGAGTCCCTCTCAGCTTCCTGATTTCACGATCTGTCTGGTCTTTCCAGCCCTCTTCTGCCTTCTTCTCATTTGTTGCCCCAACACTCTGACTTTGTCTTCTTCTTCTTTTGTTTTGTAAATATATTTTTATTGACTTCAGAGAGGAAGGGAGAGGGAGAGAGATAGAAACATTAATGATGAGAAACAAGCATTGATTGGCTGTCTCCTGCACGCCCCCTACTGTGACCGAACCCAGGCATATGCCCTCACTGGGAATCAAACTGTGACCTCCTGGTTCATAGGAACCATCTTCTCATAGTGGTTAGGGATTTTTACTAATGCCCTCAACCCTGAAGGGGAAAAAAAGGGTGTGATGTGGGGCCCCACCTACAACTAGAGGGCAAGACTCAGGTCCTCCCAGAGCAAAGCAAAGGACTCAAGCTTGGTCCTTGTAGAGTCAGCAGGAGCAGGCCAGGCTGCTGGCTGGGGACTGCAGATCTCTGTGTGTGATGGAGGGAAGGGTGCTAGTGCCAGAGAGACTGGGAAGAGTCTGCCAATTGGAGAGATTGGGAAGGGCTGCTCCTCCCAGTGTCTGCCTTCTGCACTGAGCTGGAGAAAGTTATCCTGCCCCTCACAGCACACCCTACTCCTGGACCGAGGTTTAAGAATGTTTGTGCAGGAAGGTGATTTGGAGCAGGGCTCTGCAACCTCTCCCTATAAAGGGCCGGAGAGTAGATATTTCAGGCTTTGTGGGCCACACAGTCTCAGTCACAACTACTCCTCTGTGTCATTGAAGCACAACAGCAGCATAGACAAGTGAACAGGTGGGCATGAACTGTATTTATGAGCACTGAAATTGGAATTTCACAAACTTTTCACGTCATAGAATATCATTCTTTTGATTTAAAAAAAAAGTATCTTAAAGTCTGAAAACCAGCACTGGCCAGTGTGGCTCAGTGTTTAGAGCATCTTGCCCACATACCGAAGGATGTTGGGTCTGATTCACAGTCAAAGGCACATACCTGGGTTGCAGGTTTGATCCCTGCCCATTGAGACGTGTGCGGAAGGCAACCAATCGATGTGTCTTTCTCACATCGATGTTTCTCTCTCTCTTTCTCCTCCTCCCTTCCACTCTCTCTAAAAATCAATGGAAAAAATATCATTCGGTGAAGATTAGCAAACCAACCAACCAACCAACCAACCAACCACAAACAAACAAAAATGTATAAACCATTCTTATATCACAGAGCTAAGCCATTCTTAGCTTATACTTGGCCTGGAATATGCCAAGTATAATAGACCCCGATTCAGAGTCTAGTTTTTTTGTTGTTGTTTTTTTGAGGGGGGCGGGGGGCGGAGGGGGGGGAGTCTAGTGTTTTCCCAACTGTTTCCAAGGGGCGTGGTCAAACACTCAGGTGAAATGCTGGGTTAAGCAAAGCTGACCACCCGGCCTGCTCCTGCCCTCATGGGACTTCTCAGGTCAATATTCTCAGGAGCTGCACACGTTTCCCAGAGAGGCTGGCACAGGCCAGGCCTCTAATTTACTGACAATGAATCTCTTGTTCTGTGGAGTGTCTTGTAGACAAGCATTTCTCAGGGCTGGGTTCTGTGGAACGTGCTTTGGGAACCCTCTGCAGTCCACCCCTCATTTGATACATGGGGAAGCTGAAGCCTGCGTGCCCTGCCAGCTGGACATACAGTCAGGCCCCGTGACTGCGCTCATGCTCCTGAGATGCCACTGCGCATCCCTGGTGCAATCAGGCCCTGTGACTGCATGATGCTCCTGACGTGCCATTACTGCATCCTCTGAGGGAGCCCCAGCAGAGCAGCAGGGTCCGAAGCTAGTCCACAAGACACAGGTCTTTAGGTTCAGACCCAGCCATGCACACACAGAACCCGGCCAACATATATTGGTTGAGTGTTTGTCACCCTGGTTGCATGTCAGGAAATACCCCTAAAATTCCTGTCCCTGATCCATTGAAGAAGTACTTATAGGCTGTCCTTAGCCTCTTGGCTACTGTCCCGTCATTAAAGGGCATAACTATTGCATGATTTGGACAGTAAGGAGGCTGGTGTACTCTACACAGCAATAATGTACTTCCACGTGCATAGACTTTACAAAGCACCTCTGTGTCATTTGCTCTTTACACCTGCCTCTGGGGGAAATAGGACAGTTTCCTTTTTTTTTTCTTTTTTCAAATTTTATAGATACAAAAGCTGAGGCTCAGGGTCCCTAGGAGACTTGCCCTTGGTCACCCAGACAGGGACAAAGCCAGAACTCAGACCCAGGTCTCGTCTCACCTCAGGGGCGACTTTCTCCTTGCCCCATTGTCTTCGAGTGAAGGGTGACTAGGCAATGAAGTAATTCTCTAGGAAAGCATGACCAATTTCCCTTTCTCCACCTCCCTCTTCTTCCTCCTCCCCCTGACCCAACCCCCATATATATATGAATCTTCACAAAGCTGGCCTGCACACCTTTACTTTTGAAACGACTTCCACAGTCCGGACAGGAACCTTCCACCCACAGTGACATCCTGACTGGTGAGTGGTGAGGGTGCCTCCCAACTTCCCCCCTCGGTAGCAGGAGCCAGACACCTCCAAACAGCAAACCTCAAGCATCGACTCCAGCCCGGAGGTGAGTGATGCGGGAATTCCTGAGTGCTTGGCTTTGAGCATCTGACTGCCGCCTCCCTGGGAATGGGGGTTGGGATGGCAGTGCCAACTCTTTCACTGAGTATGGAAGGATAAGATCTAACCGTGGATGTGGTGCCGCCTCTTCTGATTTAACACCAAGAAGAATTTAGGCTGGATGGGAGGAAAAGCAGGAGGAGTATGAGGCCCAGAGATGAATTTTCCAGAGAGGCTTTGAAGTCTGTGGAGTTTGAGAGAACAGAATGGAGTTTGAGAAAGACCCGAGGGCGATGCTGAAGCTCAGACTTGCGTGGCGGAGGATACTGGGCGTTGTTCTTGGGTCCCACTACCCTGCCCATATGTTGGCAGTCGTTCCAGAGACAGGCCTTCTCCCATCTTCCTGCCCAGCCTTGGGGTGGAAGACTGAGTTTCTTCAGGTGGGAGACCACTGCCTGGAATATGAAAGGTTCTTCAATAGTTGTGGAAGGAAGGAAGGAAGGAAGGAAGGAAGGAAGGAAGGAAGGAAGGACAGAAAGGAGGGAGGAAGAGAGGGAGGGAGGAAAGGAAGAAGAAGAGCAAGGGGCAAAGAAGGGAGGGAGAAGGAATGTTCTGGGTACACGTATTACACGTATGACAAATAGATAATGGTTCGCCTTTCTCTAATGAAGAGAAAGGTTCGCCTCTTCATAGTCATTCCCAATTGGCCCTCTAGTGAAAGTTTTCAAGGTGAGTCATCCAGAAATGCGATTCCTCCCTCCTGTTCAGTTACCTAAAAAGCCAATTCTTAGGGTCAAAAAGTGAGTCATCAGTTGAGGTAGCAGAGTGAGAGTGTGCCAGGATTAATCCCTCAGCTCCCTCTCGATGAGGAGTCAGAGGTGGCCTGGAGTGAGAAAAAGACCTGCCCAGGTGTGCCTGGTGCCTGACGGGCAGAACACAGACAAGCAAACACCTAGTTAAAGCTCTACCCTTGGGTTTGGGCTCCCTGTACATGTTCTTTGGCACATTGTAAACACCACCCACTGCCCCCTCCCCCTGCCCATTTCTTCACTCTTCTTGGTCAAATTCTGACTAGCAGGTTGTTGGCTAGTGAGAAGTGTATGGAGTAAGGAAGGGGGTTCCCAGTATGTGTGACGTGGATGGGAATGAGGGGGTGGGCAGATAGTGAGATAGTGAGACCCGCGGGTATGAGATGAGGGGCAGAAAGACCCTCACCCCACCTTGGGGCACCACATGTTTGCAATATTCTAACTCTAACAACCACCGTAGTCTCAGGTTTCCTATCTGTGTGTCAGGCTGGCGAGGCAGAGCCAAGGAGCGTTATTTCTGGATGTACCGGTCCTGGGCCAGAAGGCCGACCTCAGCGGCCTGTCTCCCTTCCTCCCAGCAGCATCCTCCCGGTCCTTCCTCTGCTGCAGATGGGCTCTCCAATGCAGAAGACTGCCCTCCCCTGCCTGAGTCTCATCCTGCTTATCTGGAGCCAGGGTCCCGGGGCCCAAGGCCAAGAATTCCAATTTGGGCCCTGCCGCGTGGAAGGGGTAGTTTTCCAGGAACTGTGGGAGGCCTCCTGGGCCGTGAAGGACATTGTGGTGAGTGAAGTGTCCTTCTGGACCCAGCTGCTGGGGTGACTGTCAGGGGGAGGATAATAGTTTATGATTATGGAGCCCTTTGTACCTTGCTAATCGTTACCCTGGAATAACATTGTGAAGTGAGCAACATCGCAAGCCCACGTTTCCTCTTGCACATGGGGAAACTGAGGCTCAGAAAGACATGGTCAGTCCATAGGAGAATAAACAGCTCACGAGGAATAAAGAACAGAGCCTGTTCATCCAGGGGGACAGGAGACTCCAGCAATGGGAAGTCACGGGAAGTCCTTTGAGTCCCAATTACTGGAGTTTTCACCTACTGTTTAGCCAGGATCCTGCTAGTCTACCACCACCTGCTTACACTTTGGCTAAAGCAGTGGTTTTCAACCTGTGGGTCGCGTTCCCCAACGACCCTTTCACAGGCGTTGCCTTAGACCAGTGATGGCGAACCTTTTGAGCTCGGCGTGTCAGCATTTTGAAAAACCCTAACTTAACTCTGGTGCCGTGTCACATATAGAAATTTTTTGATCTTTGCAACCATAGTAAAACAAAGATTTATATTTTTGATATTTATTTTATATATTTAAATGCCATTTAACAAAGAAAAATCAACCAAAAAAATGAGTTCGCGTGTCACCTGACACTCGTGTCATAGGTTCGCCATCACTGCCTAAGACCATCGTAAAACACATATATAATTACATATTGTTTTTGTGATTAATCACTATGCTTTAATTATGTTCAATTTGTAACAATGAAATTGGGGGTCACCACAACATGAGGAACTGTATTAAAGGGTCGCGGCATTAGGAAGGTTGAGAACCACTGGGCTAAAGGTAGAAAGAATGGTTAATGCTGAGTGAGGAGGCTGCTGGTGAAATGTGACCGGATTTCTCCTGGGCCTGCGAGCACTATAATATGTGCCCTCACAAATGCACTCACCTCCTTAAAGGACAATCCAGAGGCAAGGCAGAAAGTGGGCGCTCAATGGGGCAGCCTGGGAGGGGAGAGTGTTGCACTGGAGACAGGACCCGTGTGTGTGTGTGTGTGTGTGTGTGTGTGTGTGTGTGTGATCGTGACCTTGAAACCAGCCCATAAAGTACCCTCATCCCCATCAGTTTCCTTATTTGCACAATGAGGATGTGGGACAAAGGAGCTCAAAAGCTCCTTCCTCTCAATGATTCTTTGAATCTAAATCCAAGAACTGAAATGAATGAATGTCTGGGCTGCAGGGAAAGCCCCGTGGGTGAGAAAAGCAGGATTTCCCCAGGCTCTTGGAAAAGGGAGGTAAAATCTTGCCCTTAGGGGTTCTTAAACCAAATAGGGTTATTTCCTCTTGTCTCTGAGGAATCAAACAGGTTCCTGATCAAGGCTCTAAGAACTCCAGGGATTGCATCTGCCCTTGGGGGTCAAGTTTAGTGATTGTCTGTGGCTGAAACCTGTATCTCCACCCCAGGGGCCAGCTCAGCCCAGCCCTTCGTGGGCACCCCCTGGCCCCTGAGACTTCACAGACTGGAGAGGTTTAGGGGCCTGGGGAGGCAGCAGTATCTCCACCCCAGGGGCCAGCTCAGCCCAGCCCTTCCTGGGCACCCCCCTGGCCTCTGAGGCTTCACAGGCTGGAGAGGTTTAGGGGCCTGGGGAGGCAGCTTGCATTTGCACGGTTGGTTCCTATGCTGCCTCCGAACTGAGACATCTTTTCATCCTGTTCCCACAGCAAGCTCAGGAAACCCTGTCCTCTTCCACCCAAGCATCCCCAGAAAGCCTCTTCCTCAGAACAGAAAGCCGCATCCTATTCCTCAATGTGGTGCTGGAGAACCCAGAGCCAGGCAGCCCAATATTCAAAGTCTGTCTCTGCCCTAGTATGACTTTGAACAATTTAATGCATCTCTCTGATCCCTTTTATCCCTCTCTGATCCCCAGAGATAAGATGGCAGCATTAATAGGCACCTCCTAAAGACACACAGTGCCTTGTCCATTATGGCCATTCTCATCACCTGCCTGTCTATTCACTTGTGCATCCATGCTCTTTCCCTTTTTTTCTTTTCTCAAACTCCTTTGCCAAGTGGCTTTACAAGAGTTTGGATCAGCAAAAGGCCCTGGGAATGGAGAGAAGCCTCAGGCAGCATCTCTTGACGGTGGGTCCATCTCCCATCAGATAGCCCCTCCCTCCACGATCCCGCTCCCACTCAGCAGGCCTGGATTGGTTTCATTTTCACCCAGTGCCCCAGCTTCTAGTTCACACACTTCTGATGCTAAAGCTGGTGTAGGCTTCTTGCTTTATTAAGCTCTAATTTGACTCATCATCCCCTATGGAGCTTCTCAGCTCTTCTTGTGTAATAAATTCCTTGTATTAAATTCTCTCTGCTGAAAACATTTGAATGACTTCTAATTTCTGAATGGATCATGAGAGATGGCATGCCCCTCTCCCTTCTCCCTCATCTATGAACCTAGTTCATTAGAGTTCCAGTTAAGATGGCAAATTAGGCAAATGGATACTCACATCCTCCCATGACCATATCAAAATTACAACTAAACTACAGAACAGCCACCTGATGTCTAACTGAACAGAAGTCTTGTAACTAAAAATATATAGAAGAAACCATGTCAAGACTGGTAGGAGTGACAGAGATGTGGAATGGGGCTCAAGTTATCATTGACCAAGCTGGCCAATGATTAATAAAATATCCCCAAAGGGTAATGTTTAAGGTCAACAGTGCTAATAACTCCCTCCCTCTTAAAGCACTCACCTACTTCTCTTGGACTTCATGACACTGCTCATTCCTGGGTCTCCATCTATTACAGCGGTTCTCAACCTGTGGGTCTCGGCCCCTTTGGCGGTCGAACGACCCTTTCACAGGGGTCGCCTAAGACCATCCTGCATATCAGATATTTACATTATGATTCATAACAGTAGCAACATTACAGTGATGAAGTAGCAATGAAAATAATTTTATGGTTGGGTCACAACATGAGGAACTGTATTTAAAGGGCCAGAAGGTTGAGAACCACTGCCTTAGCTGGTCCTGGCTTTTACTCCACGACAGGGAGTCGTGAGAAAAGAGCACAGCAGGCTTTGGACACCAGCAGTTCTGGGTTCCAGTCTAGCTCTGCATCTAGCCAGCTGGTTGGCCCTCTGTAGGTTTCTTACGTATAAAACAGGATGATCGCCCCCACCTGGCAAGGCCGCTGTGGGAATTCGAGGCGGCCCTGCCACGTGGTGGGAGTCAGCCTTGGCTCCTTGAGGACGTGGACTCAGCGCTGTTCTCCGAGGCCCCGGGACCCTCTGGCATCACTAGGAAGGAGGGGGAGGGGGCTTGCCTCTGCCCCCACCCAACACCCGGCACAACTTTTTTCTGTTCTCCAGCAGGAAAATGAGATGTTTCCCATCCGCGAGAGTGCGCGCAGGCGGTTTCTGCTGTTCCAGGCAGCCTTTAAGCAGGTAAGCAGGGCTGGGAGCTCAGGGCTTGCTTGAGCTGTCGCAGTCAGATGCCTCAGAGACCTAAAGCTAAATGCAATGCAATCGCCTCCTCCAGGCTTGCCCCAAAGCCACCTGACTTAGCAGGAGCACAGCGTGTTTACATGAATTAGCATTTACTTTGCATAAGCACCACAAATGACATACTATATTTTCCTGCCAGTTTTCAAATGAAAATGCTATTCTCTTTCCCTAGGGGATGATTTCACTACTGAGCATTTTTCCTGGGCAATTGGAGTCGGCAGTGAGAGAGAAAGAAGGGAGACTGTACAGACCCCCCCCCCCCCCCCGCCCACACACACACATCTCCATACGTGGTATTTCCCATAATGCTCATCTAGCTTAATTTGTGAGGAAAAACATCATGGGAAAATATATTACTTTCTCCCAAATTAATACAACAAAGAAATGCCAAATGTCATCCCCAGCTCCCCACCCCCAACATGTATGATTTTGATCACCTTTTGAAGGAACAGCTACATCAGCCTAAAAATAAATGAAGAGCAATCACACACAAAGGAAAGGGGCCACCCAGGCCTCATGTCGGCTACACAGTGGACTCAGGAGGTGGACCAGACCCACCCACACCGGGATTCTAGGGTTCTTGTTGGCAGGGGCCCCAGATGCTTTTCCCTGGCTCCTGACCCACCGCTACCCACTGTTTTCAACCCCAAAGCGGGCAACACACATAGACGGGGGACAAGTGATGGGTGGGTGAGTTCCTCAGAGGTCATCCCACAGGGGACGCCGCCCCGAGGTGGAGTCAGCCAGGTCTGGGAGGGGTGGGTCGGAAGGCAACTACGCTTGTGGCTAACGTGGCAGATCTTCACCTCTTCTTTCCCTGCAGTTGGACATAGAAGCAGCGCAGACCAAAGCCTTTGGAGAAGTGGACATTCTCCTGACGTGGATGCAGAAATTCTACCAGCTCTAATTTCCCAGACTGGAACGCCCTCCTCGTCCTCCCCGTCATTTCAAGAGTGTCCCTCCCTGTGATGTTCCCACTCTGAACCACGGGTCCCATTCTTGGTCCAGGCGTATCCCCAAAGACTTCATTCTTTAAGTGGCCCCAACAACAGTCACGAAATCTCCCTCAGATGCTGTGAAAAAGCTACAAAGCAGGCTCCTATATTTATTACATCTCTATTTAATTCCTGTTAGTGTTTTATATATTTATATTTATATGTAAATATAAATATAT